TGTGTGTGTGTGTATGTGTGTATGACGTTTTTTTTTCGCTTTATTATAATAGGGAACAACTTTATCCGTCCAACTTTTCATTCAATATCCATCTCTCATATGAATGAATGAAAGGACGGATTCATATTTCAATCTTTTCAGTTTGTCATTTCGCCTTCTCATCAATCTTTGTTGTGTTTGCTATCATTGAATAAATTTAAAATTACGTGTAAAATTTACGCTAGGTGATTAATAAGTGGTCTTTTACAAATCTTTAAATAATGCTAATTAGTATAATGAGAAAACATACAATATTACTAATCATTATTACATATCAAACAATAGACATATTATTTATGTATATATATATATATATATTAGCATGCTTGTATGCATAAACAGATGTAGTGTATGTTGGGCACACACACATATATATATATATTAAAAGATGATAGGCAACATACACACACAGACATTTACATACATGAATGTAAACAAAACGGAGGAAGCATTGGCATAACTGACAGACAAATGATGAATGACTTTGAGCGCACGCTGTCGATACCATGCATACAGACATACAGACAGACATACACATACATACATACATATAGCGCTTTTGCTGTTTGCCATTGTTGTTGATGGATGTATGTATGTGCGTGGGTGGGAGAGTCTGTGTGTGTGTGTGTGTGTGTGTGTATGTGTGTGTGTATGTGGGTGGATGTGGCAAAACTAGCAAAATTGTTGGCGTCCTCGCGCAACATCTTCATTTTGCTCATGTTGTTATCATTGGATGATAATAATCCTCACATGATAGTGATAACACCAACCATTCATATAAGCAAATGATAGTCCATTTTTCATTTCATATTAATTTCCGAAATTTCTTAATTGATAGAAAGTTTGACTTTGTTTTTTTTTTTTTGTTTGTTCTATTTTTATTCAAAGAATAACAATTTCGAAAACATGCTGTTCCATTCTGAAGTGTTTTTTTTTGTTTTGTTTATTTGATGATTTATGAAGGATAAAAAAGCTATAACATTAGTTATAACTGTTTCAGCATGCTCCTAACAATATCAGTGATAAGGTCAATCAATAATGATAAATAGCAATAATCAGTAGTCGTCGTTAAGATACATTATTAGCACTTCATATGTAATATTAATTAGGCTTTCTAAGCAATGGTCAATCATTTTCTTGCTAATAGGAAGCATTTTTTATTTCGAATTCATTCATTCATTCATTCTCGCTATGTTTCTGATTGAGATGGAAAGAAAAAGCATTGATGAAATCTGTTATAGATTTATCATTTATTTATTTGTAATTTAATTTTCAGGCTTCGGTTGTATCATATATTTGCTATATTGGAGAAAGAAAGAAAGAGAGAGGGAGAGGGAGAGAAAGGAAAGAGATTTCAATACTATTGTTATTGTTGTTTATTATATTATTATTATTATTTTATTATCAATAATATTATTATTATTTATTACTCATATTTTGTTGTTATGTTTAACAACTGCATTTATCACTATCACTATAATTATTCAAATTTTGATGGCTTCATATACGGAATTATCATTGACCGTTGTTGCATCGTTTATATCGCTACGAAAATTCAATCAATTATTGCTACTCTTTCCGCCAATCTGAAAACAGCAATCTGAAAACAAAATCAAACGAAAAGAAAAAAGAAAGCAAGGCTTCGCTAAATACTAAAAATCAATCAATTTTTTCTTTTTGAAAATGAAAATTCCACTGATCATCTGCTATCAGTTGTTATCGCTACCTAATTATATGGCCAAAATAGCTATCATCGTTGCTGTATGACTAACCAAAAGAACGCCACCTCAATTATCACCATTATTACCATCATCACTATCAATATTATCATCATTTTTATCATCTTGATAACTAATCGAATGTCCGAAAATGGTAGATTTTGGCTTATCATCACAAGCATCATTAATGATATCTGTTATTGTTATCATAGCGATCATCGTATTTTGCTCTCATTTTGATTACATTCATCGGAAGAAGCAATTTGCTACATTTTCCATTCTTATAACAATCATTTTATTTGGTAATTTTATGCGAATAACATTCGGTCAACCTACCACAATCAGTGATAAGACTGGTCGTTCAGCGATAAATGGTCATCAATTACCATTTAATATTCTCGTTGTCTTACCGGAAAGTGAATCAAGCAATGATAATTTTGGAATTACAATGCCAAAAGCACGGCCAGTAATTGATATCAGTGTGATGGATGCAATCCGATCTGGGAAGATAGGTGCGGATTATTTGAATTTCACATATCATGATTCGAAATTTTCGGAAAATGCAAATTTAGCTGAACGTTTCGCAACCCTTGGTGTTGTAACGGCATACTGTTCAAATCGTTTGGATGCAATTCTTGGATTTGCTGATAGCTATAGTTTAGCAACAACATCAAAGATTACTGCTGCATTTGGACATGGTATACCGGTAATTACAACAGCCGGAATGGTATCAAATCTTGGCGATCGGCAAACATATCCATTTCTTACACGAATACAAGGTAGCTATCGACAAATGGCCGATAGTATGTATAAATTAATTGCATATCGAGAAGAATTTGAAAAAGGTGCATCAATAGGAAGAAGAAAAGATGAACGAAAATCAACCGATACAACGGGATTGCATAGCAGTTTACGTGATCGTTTACCGGTTCAAGAATCACACTTATCATTGGGTTATCAGAATTTGGTGCTAATGTATCACGATAAACGTCGAGCTATTAATCGACCAAGATTAGCAAATGGTGAAGTAATGGCTGTGGAAAGTGTTTCTAGCCATTGTTATTTTACGCTCTATGCTATCAAAAATTTTTTCACCGAAAAAAGTGCTTATTTCAAGGAAG